GAACCTGTGCTTAAATAAACTTATTAAATTCTGCTCAAATTGTGGTGTTTGTTGGGTTTATAAGGGCCACTGACACCTTACTCCGTATCGAGCTCAACTTCCCGATGTTCGGGATCCAGGTCCAGGATGAATCTTGGACCCAGGTCCAGGATGAATCTTGGACCCAGGTCCAGGATGAATCTTGGACCCAGGTCCAGGATGAATCTAGGACCCAGGTTCTGGATGAATCTTGGACCCAGGTCCAGGATGAATCTTGGACCCAGGTCCAGGATGAATCTTGGACCCAGGTCCTGGATGAATCTTGGACCCAGGTCCAGGGTGAATCTTGGACCCAGGTCCAGGTTGAATCTTGGATCCAGGTCCAGGATGAATCTTGGGCCCAGGTCCAGGGTGAATCTTGGGCCCAGGTCCAGGATGAATCTTGGACCCAGGTCCAAGATGAATCTTGGATCCAGGTACAGGATGAATCTTGGACCCAGGTCCAGGATGAATCTTGGACCCAGATCCAGGATAAGTCTTGGACCCAGGTCCAAGATAAGTCTTGGACCCAGTTTCAGAATAAATTTTGGACCCAGGTCCAGAATAAATCTTGGACCCAGGTCCAGGATGACTCTTGCCATTTTGCTCTGGGTGATTTGTAGTTTTTCAGCTTTTTTTTTTTTTTTGTCGAGGCAGAGTATCATGAAGAACAAGCGTAGTCCATGTGACATTGTATAAAGGCTAGACATGGGTCCTGCGAGTCTCAGTAGGTAGACAATTATTATTATCAAGGGGGAAGCGCTAAACCCGGAGGATTATACAGCGCCTGGGGGGAGGATGTGGAAGGCATTCAGGCTTAATTCGGGGAACTGGAGCACAGATCCAATTCCCTAAATCAAGAGCCCCTCACCAACATCAAGGAACCTTCCTTGAGGGGAGTAGGTAGACAAGATAAGATTTCGTTCGGATTTTTAGCCCCGGAGGGTCAGCCACCCAGGATAATGCAAGAAAGTCAGTGCGAAATCAAGGACTGTGTCTTATTTCCATTGTGGTCCTCAATCTTGTCCCCCAGGATGCGACCCACGCCTGTAGGCTAACACTCAGTTACCTATTTGCTGCTAGGTGAACAGGAAAATAGGTGTAAAGAAACGCGTGAAAAGGTTTTCACCCCGCCGGGAATCGAACCTGAGTCCTCCGTGTGTGAAGCGAGAGCTTTGCCAGCCAGGCCACGGGGCCCTATATTATTATAATCAAAGGGGAAGCGCTAAACCCATTGGATTACACAACCCCTGTGGGGGAATGAGGAAGGTATTCAGGCTTAATTCATGGAACTGAAGCACAGATCCAATTCCCTAGATCAAGAGCCCCTCACCAGCGTCAAGGAACCCCAATGGAAATAAGACAGACAGTCCTCGATGACGCACTACCTGCCTTGGGTTATCCTGAGTGGCTAACCCTCAGGGGTTAAAATCCGAACGAAATCTTTTATCTTATCCTAACCTTCCTTGAGGGGTAGACAATAATAATAATAATAATAATAATTCTCTCTACATGTAGAGAGAATGGAGCGAAACAGAATGACTTCAAGAGTGTATCAGTCTGTAGTGGAAGGAAGGCGGGGTAGGGGTCGGCCTAGGAAGGGTTGGAGGGAGGGGGTAAAGGAGGTTTTGTGTGCGAGGGGCTTGGACTTCCAGCAGGCATGCTTGAGCGTGTTTGATAGGAGTGAATGGAGACAAATGGTTTTTAATACTTGACGTGCTGTTGGAGTGTGAGCAAAGTAACATTTATGAAGGGATTCAGGGAAACCGGCAGGCCGGACTTGAGTCCTGGAGATGGGAAGTACAGTGCCTGCACTCTGAAGGAGGGGTGTTAATGTTGCAGTTTAAAAACTGTAGTGTAAAGCACCCTTCTGGCAAGACAGTGATGGAGTGAATGATGGTGAAAGTTTTTCTTTTTCGGGCCACCCTGCCTTGGTGGGAATCGGCCGGTGTGATAATAAATAAATAAATAATAATAATAATAATAATAATAATACAGGGAAAATATGTTGCCCAAAGCTGTGCCATGAAAGGAAAGGAACAGAACTTCCTTTGTCAATAGAAAAAGACACTAAAAGTTCCCAATTAGATGAGGTGGACTTCTTGCCCCATGGCCTGGTGGCTAAATCTCTCGCTTCACACGGCGAGTGTCTGGGTTCGATTTCCAGCGAGGGTAGAAACATTGGGCGTGTTTCTTTACACCAGTTGTTTATGTTCCCCATCAGTAAAACGGGTACCTGTGTGTTAATAGACTGGTGTGGGTCGCATCCTGGGACAAAGCTGATCTAATTTGCCTGAAATGCTCTGCAAAACAAGCGGCTTTCTATATAGTCACTGATTTTAGCTAGGCCTGTATACCTTGTACATGTACTTGTAGAAGTAAAGATATTATTATAAGCCTGACCAGAGCAAGACGCTCACACTTCCCCCGAGTTTAGTAACCGGCTTCCTACTAAAACCATTAAATAAATATCCACAAAACAGAAAAAAATGGAGCTGCCTAAATTAAGCAGCTCCATACTTGATGTGGGCTGCTTGAGAATGGGAGAAATGTGCCACTGATGCTCAGGCGAGAACAAGACATCGACATTCAACAAAAGCTGACACAGAAGTCCTGTACTCCAATTCCGGTGCGTAGTCGGGTAGGAGACAAATAGTCAAAATTCCTACCTTAGCAACAGGAGACAAATAGTCAAAATCAACAAAACAGAATCAGAACCCCTGCCGATAACATGTGGAGTTCCCCAAGGTAGTATTCTGGGTCCCTTATTATTCTTATGTTATGTCAATGATATGCCTATCAGTGTCAAGTGCAAACTCCTACTGTATGCAGATGACAGTGCTCTGTTAGTGTCAGGTAAAGACCCACAAGATATTGCTAATGTTTTAACACTGGAACTGGAGTCCTGCAGCAAATGGTTAGTAGACAACAAACTATCATTACACCTACGGAAAACTGAAGCCATTCTCTTTGGCACGAAACATAAACTGAGAAGGGTAAATAATTTTAATGTTCAATGTAATGGGGAGCCCATCACTTTGGTTTCATCATAAAATATTTGGGAATCCCCTTTGACCCATGCATGTCAGGAGAATTGATAGGGAACAGTGTAGTAAAGAAAGCGAATGCCAGACTGAAGTTCCTGTATAGACAAGCTCAGTGTCTACCTACTGAGGCTCGCAGGACCCTATGTCTAGCCCTTATACAATGCCATATGGATTACGCTTGCTCTTCATGGTACTCTGCCTTGACAAAAAAACTGAAAGATAGACTGCAAATCACCCAGAACAAAATCGTAAGATTCATCCTGGGGCTGGGACCAAGAGAACATGTAGGCCAGGATGAATTACAGCAGTTGGATATGCTGAATGTTGAAGACAGAGTAAAACAACTGAAGCTAAATCATGTTTATAAAATTGCTCACAAACAATGTCCAGAATATCTTGCTGTCAATTTTGTCAAGGTTGGGAACCAAAGCAATCATAGTACTAGGGGGGGAGAGCACAACTTTGTAGTACCCACAGTCATTGGACAGGCTTCAAACACCTTTTATTGTACAGCAATAAAGGAATGGAACAGACTGCCAGCACATGTCAAAGCCAGTCATAGCATGAACCAGTTCAAGAAGAGTGCCAAAAAGGTGTCTGATGAATGTAGCTACAGAAAGGGAGGGGAATGATTTTCTATTTTTTAGCTAACATACGTGTAAATTTTTACCTTATTCCTAGTAATGACCCTCGTATTGTAGATAGTCTTAATGACCTTGGTGTAGTAGATAGTCTTTTTAGTATGATAATAAGATGTTATCTTCATTGTAGAATAATAAGAAAATATTATAACCTTTATATTATAATAATAAGGTAAAAGGACCCCAATGGAAATAAGTCACTCTGTCTGACTTTTTTGGGTTATCCTAGGTTCTCTACACATATGCTGCTATGTATGATAATTCTATGTAACTGTATTTGTGTATACCTGAATAAACTTACTTACTTACTAACGCCGTTTCTGTAGTTGTTGGTGTTGAGTTGTTAAGGGCCTCAGAAGCTTACGTTTTATTGAGCTCTTCTTCCCGGTAGTTAGTTTAATATCTTTATTTTGCACCCCATACCCATCCTGTGGGCGGTAGTCAAAAGATTACAAAGGTACATAATGTGTCCAGGGACTGGACTCCAAAGTTATGATAGCTGAACTAGTTACAAAGGTAATGAACTCCAGGTAGATCTGGTCACAATCATGGCAAGTTACAAAGGTAATGAATCGGCCTCACTCCTATACATGGTTAAAGTCATGAACAAATTACAAAGTAATGAACCACTGATACGTCCACACCCGGTCACAATTGTAATGAGTTATAAATACAAATATTAAGTGGGTCATACACAAATAACAAAAAAGGCACAATACCGTGACTGGAACAATACACAAATAACCCGAACATAAAAGAGAGACGCTTACGACGACGTTTCGGTCCGACTTGGACCATTGACAAAGTCACACATTGTCACATTGACTTTGTCAATGGTCCAAGTCGGACCGAAACGTTGTAGTAAGCTTCTCTCTTTTATGTGCGGGTTATTTGTGGGTCATACACCCACTCGAGTGCGCGCGCACGCACATTCTTCCCGGTAGTCCGGTAAAAATATGTTGCTTATGTAAAGATAAGTAAGTTTATTAGGGTATACATACATATAGCTACATAAATTATCATACATAGCGGCATATATGTAAATTACCTAGGATAACCCCAAAAAAGTGACATTTCTATTGTGGTCCTTGAAACTCTTTTCAAAGGGAGCGCCTCTTCCCTTCTTAATTCCGGCCCATCTTCAGGCGGGACTCTTTTTTGGGTTATCCTAGGTAATTTATATTATGTGTGACAATTGTATTTATGTGTACCTGAGCTTTAAATAAACTTAAACTTTTTCCTTCCCAGAAATTTGGAAGAAAGGTTGAATATGGTGTAAGTTGTGGTGGCCCTTAATACCCCAACAACAATAACAATGGCCGTGTGTGTAGCTGTCATAGGCAAGGAAGTATGTTTCTCATATCTTTTAAGTCTCTCAACTAGGTGATTATTTGGATATATATATATATATATATATATATATATATATATATATATATATATATATATATATATATATATATATATATATATAATATATATATATATATATATATATATATATAATATATATATATATATATATATATATATATATATATATATATATATATATATATATATATATATATATATATATATATAAAATAGCTGTTACAGTAAAGGTTTTGCATTTTTCTTGTGGTGTGATATAATGTATATATAAAGTGTCAGCACGACAATCGTGATTTTTAAACCTAAGTTACATTTCGGTTTCTGTCATTTAATTATTATATTTATATTGTTCATCAGAACAGTCCGCTTTATGTGTGGGTGGGCAGTGGACGAGAGGAACTTCATCTTCACTACCTGGCACATACAGGATTAGATGTTATACAGGAGAAGGTCGCTGCAGTTAATAAAACTCCTGGTGACACCAGAGAACTTTACTTAGGTCTGCTCTATGCTTCAGAAGAATACAAAGTGTATCCTTTTCAAATGCAAACGTATATTCATAATTTTAAAAATGAAGATTTATATCTACTGTTGTAGGTATTGAAAAGTCATACACTAGTCTTCTGAAGATGTTTGTCACAGTGTGTTGAATGTATGTACAGTTAACATGTATGATTTCCAAAATTGCTAAAGTAAACGGGAATTTGTTTTATTTTGTTTTCAGAATTGAAATATTGTACCACACTCGAATTGTGCTTGATAGCATATTTGTATTAAGCAAGCTGTTTATTATTAAAACTAACTTTTTACTAGTATTACGATTGGCAAACAACAGAGGTAAGAAAATGGTTACTGCACAGTTTGTATAATATGTCATAACTTTCACATACAATATATACCACAGTATATTCTTAACTGGCTACATAGCTTTGGATACACAACCAACACACGGATAAAGTTTGTCATCATTACTGATGCAGCAAATACAACCCTAAGAGACAATGAAATTAGAATGGTAAGTTATTGCAATTTTAAAGATAAGATATAGGGTAGTCAAGGTTGATTGTGATTTTAATTTCATGTGTATAATAGTGTAAATAATGAAATATTGCATAAAAAAATAGATTTTTAATGGTATTTAACTTTTGTATTCCTAAAATGTTGTTGTATTGACTGGATTAAATGTTACAGTGTCTCATGAATCAGCTAAGAAATAATAAAAGATCCAAAAATATTCCTAGAAAAATCTTGCGATAAACATTTGACTAATTAGATCAATAAAATATATACAGTGCAGTGAAATCTTGAATTAATGGATTAATGGAGAAAAGGGGTGTATATTTATTGCTGATATACCATTGTTTCTGAATTACAAAATGTATTTTTCAAGATCATTGGTTCTGGACACTACTGGACACAAAGAACAATAACCCATAAATAGTACAGGGAGGGCGTGAGAGAGGAGAAAGTAAGAATGGGTGAGCGAATGGGTGTAAGAGAGGGCAGGTGGATGTGAGAGGGTGAGTATGAGGGTGGGTGGGTATGATACAGGATAGGAGTGAATAAGAGAAAGTGCAAATGAGGGTGGGATTCATTGAGCATGAGTGGGTGTGTGGGTAGTGGATATGAGAGGTGATTATTATAATCATGAGGGTGTGGCATGCAAAGAGTACATAACCTTTATTCGGCGCATGTACACACACCCTCATTTACAGGCTATCTCCCCCAACCAGCGAACCAGGTGACTGAGGGTTGACGATGGGGCCCCGTTGTTCAACCAGTACCCAGGTTCTAGCCAATGAGAAGATGGTTTTGGCAATCGCAGAGGTTATGTGGGTACCACTCTCCTGTCTGCCCTTGTCATTTCCATTCTAGAGCTGGTTGAAGCATGGTCTGCTCTCTAGTGGCTTCTATTCTGCCTTGCTTACCGTGGAGTGCACTAATACCTATTGCTGTACATAGTGTATATAGTGTACATACTTCTGTTCTAAATTGGTGAAGTCAAAAGTTTTCTGCTGTGTTTATTTTGCTCCCTTTACACCCAGGATAACAGGCCATTTGGACTCCTGGGTTGTAATAGAGAGAGCGCTAAACCCATAGGATTATACAGCACTTGGGGGTGGGATGGAAGGTATTCAGGCTCAATTCAGGGAACTGGAGCACAGATCCAATTCCCTAGATCAAGAGCCCCTCACCAGCATCAAGGAACCTCCCTTGAGGGGGTATGAGAGGTGAATGGATTAGAGATGGGTGTTTATGAGAGAGGTTGTAAATGTGGGTGGGTGGGTTCAATCTGAAATCTGTTAAATAAAGATTTTGCTGCACCATTCAAAAAATTCGGATCCATACTTGTATATATGTATGTATATAAATAGACTGTACTCTTTCAGATGTTCAGACGTCTACACAATATGTATACAAATGTTGTATGCAATCCATTCTATATCCCTGGAGAGCAGATCACATCAAGGTAAGAGCTTTCTCATATAAGAATTATACAGTAGTTCTCTTTTCATTTACTTAGTGTTATTTACAGTATTATTATTGTTGCATAATGTAAACAGTGAATCTCAAAGCATGAATTATAATTTCAGTATTATTATAATCATCACTAAGCACCAAACCCATAAGGGTCAAAGCATGAATTGAAAATACTACACTGTTCTAGTACTTGCAGTTGATTTGTACTTACTTTATGGTCATAAGCATATGGCTTATTGATATGCTTCTGAATATACATAAATAAACCTTATACTAATGTCTTAGGAGGCTTTAATAATCTGTCATATTCATTTCGGTTCAGTCCACAAATACCTAGCTGTAATTATTATTATTATGATCAAGGGGGAGCGCTAAACCTGTAGGATTATGCAGCACCTGTGGGGGGGATGTGGAAGGTATTCAAGGAACTGGAGCACAGATCCAATTCCCTAGATCAAGAGCCCCTCACCATTGTCAAGGAACCTAGCTGTAATAACAATGCTGAACAGTTGATTTAATTTTTTTTTTTTTTTTTTTCAGAGAATTTGACCAAGGAGTTGGAGCTCTGGTAGCAGGGAATTAGATGAACTGTACTGTACCACTAGTACTTGCTAGTTCTACTTCCATTATGTGAATTTACAGCAGACAGGACACTGCTGCTATGGAATATGCAGGATTCTGATTTTCATGGTAGTTTCCCATTTTATATATGTATATTTTTTACATCTAAACTTTTGTACATTATTAATACTCTTACATTAAAATAGGTGCAGTACATTAACTATTTTTTTATGGGCTACTTTCATATTCTTTATTTTTATTTATATTATTGTATAGTAAGCTCAAATAGATATCAATACTTGTTCTATGATAGTAACACTGTCTTATAGATATCAACAGTAGTCTCATCAAATACCTGAGAATATTTTTGTCATTGTCTACTTGGAAATGCTGTGTTGCATATTTCACTCTGCTCATATATTTAGTTAAGTTTTACCAATATTGTAAATAGTTTCTCACCACTTTCATTTTGTTCATTGTGTTCATTAGATAATGTGTTATATGTAATGTGTTTATTGATAATTATACTTAATATATTTTCACCCTGCCTTGGTGGGAGACGGCTGACTTGTTAAAAAAAAAATATATATATTTTCCTTATATAGATGCATGTAACAATCCATTTTTTCACTGCTCTTCAACTTTGTTGGTCAAAAATACTCTCTTCATGAATAGACACATCAGTATGCATAAATCTTCAGCAGATTTTTCAGATGTTTTATGAATTAATGGTTAATATAATGAAATTAAGCTGGATGTCCTAGCACAAAGCACAACAAAGTTTAAAGGGGGTGGAAGAATTTTTCACTGGGAGGAGTAAATGAGATTAAATTGTGTGTAACCAGAAGAACTAAAGGAGCAATAGTGGTAATATTAAATGATAAACTGTGGAAAGAAAGAGTGGGATATAAGTGTTCAAAGTCAGGAATTTTTTGGATTAGGATGAAGATGAAATGTGAGAAGTGGTTTATAGCAAGTGGTTATGGTGAGAAGAGTGTAGAGGAGAGATTAATTTAGGGAAGTGTTAAGTGAAGATTTAGAGAGTTTTGAACCAAATGAGAAAATTGTTGTATAGGGCATAGTTGCTGTTGAGGGTCTTTTGAATTCTGATGGCCATACAAGACTGACAAGATAGCTATTAACCCTTTGACTGATTACGCTGTATAAATACGTCTTACGCGCCACTGTTTCTGACGTATATATACTCAATAATTCTAGCGGCTTCAAATCAAGCGGGAGAAAGCTGGTAGGCCCACATGTGAGAGAATGGGTCTGTGTGGTCAGTGTGCACCACATAAAAAAAATCCTGCAGCACACAGTGCGTAATGAGAAAAAAAAAGCTGATCGTTTTTTTGGATTAAAATGCCGACTTTGAGATGTATTTTCGTATAGTATTTATCAATGTATTCGCTTTTCATGGTCTTAGGTGATAAAATGGAAAACATATTACAGAAATAGAGATGATTTTCATTACTTTGATGATGAAAACGACCTTGAAACTGAGCTCAAAGTAGCCGAAATGTTCGATTTTTACCAATGTTCAGGAGTAAACAAATCACACCACACGTCCAATACACGTCAACTGGGGAGTCTAATATTCTTTCGCAAGTGCACTGATATTATTTATATCATTTTTACAATAATGCAGTAGTCTGCATAACAGTAAATTTTGTATTTTTTTGTATGAATAAAAAATCAAAATAGAAAGCAATAATAATATAAGAGGGGCCTAGAGATGTGACTAATGAACAGAGGATATGTTATTTTAGTGCCAAGAATGTCTACCTTGTTTATTCTGGACCCTATTTTGAAATTGGCACCTTTTTTAATTTGCGTGAAATTGGCCAAATTGCCAATTTCTGACCACTATATTGGGTAGTTCAAATTGGTAAATGGGCAGTTTCTTGTACTCAGCTGATATATAAAATGGAGTTCTAAAGAAATAGCTATGAGTTTGGTCAACTGGAACAACAGAATTGGCTGAAAACAGGGTTCAAAGTTGGCAAAATCGCCGATACGCATATGTCGCCGAGACCGCTAGCTTCGCGGGAGTGTAATTCCGTGAGTTTTCGACCAAGTTTCGAACTTTTGGTGTCATTACCATCGGGAAAAGATTCTCTATCATTTCATAAGAAAAAATAATTTTTTTTTTTTTTTTCAAAAATTTATCGACAGAATGACGGTTTCAGAAAGGGGCCTGCGACAGTCAGAGGGTTAAATAAATGATGGTGAATGTGTGTTGTTTTGAGTGACCCTTGGTGGGAGACAGCTGAGAATGTAAATAAAAAACACACTTAAAGGAACTGAAATACACTGTCTATTGTGTGTTTGGGGGACACATTATGTGGAATGTATTTTGTATATACCAAACAATATTTTTGCTATGCTTACTGGCATGTGCTAATTCTACAGAAAAAAAAAAAACTCCCAACATAATTTGGGAGTTTCTAGGAATTAACCTAACATATTCCTTATTCAGTATAATTGTCTTTTAAACCAACAAAGTGGTAGTCTGCTTGTTCACTAATTTCCTAATGTAGCAAAATGGGACTTCCCCAGTTAATAAAATATGATGCTGTATTACTCATTTGCATATACAGTATTCAGCGCAAAGTGCTATATGACCCTTATAGGTTTAGCACTTAAGTTATGATAATATTATTATAATCAAAAAGAAGCGCTAAGCCACAAGGGCTATACAGCAGTTATGATAATTCAGTGCAAAGTACTGCATTACATGTAAAATCAATGTTCAATTACAAGCTCCTCTGTACAACAACCACATATGTAATTTTTCTAGTATTAGATTGTTTAATATTTACTGTAGTAAGAAAATTTACTTGGTTAAAGTACAGTAGTTGCATTCATAGGCAAAAAAAAAAAAAATTCTTTTTGAAATCATGTTAATTTGGGACAGTCCTGTTGTAAAAATTGAATGCCCTCTAGTGAATGTGAGAAATAAAACAACTAAATGTGCTAAATAAATGTAAGTAATTTATATGTTAATCATTTCAATAAATTTCAAATTTAGTGGGATGGATTGTGAGGGACTTACCTAGTATGGGCCAACAGGCCTGCTGCAGTGTTCCTCCTTTCCTGTGTACTTATGTAACAGTACAGTGCTGTATTTCTGGACTTTTCTGATAAAAGTTACCAGTCAGAAGTTTGTTTTACAGTTTCTGTGATATATGTATAAGTAGTAAAATCTTGAATTTAAATATGTAACCTCTCGTTTATATAGCATTATAATTCATGTATTTTTTTCCTAATTTACATAGCATGAAAACTTATTCTAGGTTATAGTTGAAGTTAACCAAAAAATAAAGAAGTACAGTAACATAAATGAGTGGCTTACATATGGTAGTGTGGAACACATTGACATTGCTTACAGCATTGGTTTTCCCACACATGCTGTTTAAATTGGAGGATGGATGGGTTAAAGTATGGATATGAATACTTTGAGGATGAACTGAAGTGTAACTCCTATTGGTGACATTATAGATGAAATTATTGTTTTTGTGGACACTGCAGTAATGAATAATTGGTACTTCGTAATATAGTAAGCTACCACATTGTCTGCATAATGTGTCACATCAGCCAGGTTGTGATGGCTATGCAGGCCTGGGGACCACTAGCACCAACAGCCTAGTTGACCAGGCAGTTGATTAAAAAGTTTGCTATCAGTCCAGTTGCAAGAGTAGGAGAATCTTCAAAACTTTTTCCAGGTATGTCACAGGTAAGTAGAAGCAGAAATATGCAATTACCACAAGAGTACCCCAGGAGACATTCAGAAGTAGTATTGTATTTAGGCAAGATTTATGCTCTCATAAAATGATTCACTGCTAAGGTTTGATAAGTCTTTAAAAATTGCAGGAAACTTTTAAAATCCAGGAAATAAGATCCCAAACAATAAAGATATGCTGGTACAGCCAAATTGTGGATTATTTTTCGAAACTCATCCTTTACTCAAAAATTTAGATATTAGTGTTGAAACTATAACTCAACATGTCATGGAACACCTCCTGATTAAAGTTGTGTGTTGAAATATGTGTGCACAAGATCTCTTGTATAAAAATGTTAATATGTAGGATAAACTGGAAAAAGATTATTCTAAGATTAAAGCAAAACAAGGAATTTGAACATCTCTTCCTTTTGGATCAGCCCTGATTACCCTCCATATTCCAGGATGGCATGATCCTTATTTCTACACTTCCCTGTGAATATAATAAAAAATCTTCATGACTTTGTGGGATATTATTATTATTATTATAATCAAAAAGAAGCGCTAAGCCACAAGGGCTATACAGCGCTGCAGGGCAGGAAGGAAGCGAGGGCATCAGGTGGCAAAAGGGAGGTGGATGAGTAATAGGTTACGGATAAAAGCGGAGCAGTGGATGGTGAAAGGGTAAAGGGCAGCAAGAGACTGAGCTAGAAAGGGCTGAGGGGAGTGCGTAAGGTATCATCAGAGTTTGTGGAGCAAATCAGTCGTTGTCAAGAAGTCAATGAGAGAGTCAGGATTAAAGGAGGGTCCATCAGCAAGAAGGGAAGGTAAAGAGAGAGTAGTAGAACGAAGACGGCGTTGGAGGTAAATTCTGCGTGCTCGTTGATAGAGAGGGCAGTCTAACAGAATGTGGCTAATCGATACTGGAACTTGGCACTGCTCACAGAGAGGTACAGGGTGCCTCTCCATGAGATACCCGTGAGTAAGACGAGTGTGGCCAATGCGAAGACGGGAGAGAGAGGTCTCCCAACCATGGCACTGATAACAAGAAGACGGCCAGTAACCTATGCTCGGTTTAATAGAATGAAGTTTGTTACCAAGCAGAGTTGACCAACTTTTTGCCAACGGTGTGAAGGTGGGTAGCTATTGCAGCAAAATAGTCCAGAAATGGAACACCTCTATAGGAAATTGGTAGGTTATGTACTGCTGACTGCGCAGCAGTGTCTGCCTGTTCATTGCCCTGTACTTCGACATGACCAGGGACCCAACAAAAAATAATATCTTTATGCTTCGTAGAGATACGGCGTAGCCAAAGTTGGATACGGAGAACTAGGGGGTGAGATGTATCAAATTTTCGTATAGCCTGTAGAGCACTAAGGGAGTCTGAGACTCTCACAAATGATGACACAGGCATAGATGCGATACGAATAAGTGCTGCCAGAATGGCATACAGTTCAGCAGTAAAAATGCTAGCGAAGATAGTAAATGCCCCCGCACGACGCTGTCCGGAAACACTGCTGCGAATCCGACGCCGTCTGAAGACTTAGATCCATCTGTATACACAGAGGTGGCATGAGAATGGGAGTGGAAGTGATCAAGAAAAAGAGAGCGGGAAGCCACCGTAGCATTGAGCCCTTTGAGCAAGGGAGGGAAAAGAACAGACCCGAAAAAGCTGGAACTTTCCCGGGGGGGTAGGAAAAGTGAGATGTAATGAACTATAAAGGGGGTAACTAAAGGGGAAACAAAGGAATGTGGGCGAAGAGAAAAGGGACGGAGCAAACAGGGGGGGAAACGAATAAAGAATGTCTACTAATACGGTGCCCTTTCTATAAAGGGAAGGATTGTGGAGATGTGAGAGGTTATGTAGCGGGCAAGGGGCCACAGGGCGATCGACAAGGATGGAACTTTCCCTTTGCATAGAGGCCCAACGGGGAAGAGCGAAAAGCCCCAAGGCACAACGTAATCCTTGGGGGGTTTTAGAGTTAAGGAAAGAGAGAGTAGCGGGAGGCCGGGGAAAATAAATTTGGTACCATGTCGGTTTCGATAAAAGGGGGCTGAATGTGGCAAGCAGATTTCGACGATCAGCCCCCAGGAAAGTGGAAAGGGCTTTAAAAGGTTTAGCCGGCGTGACATTTGCCTTCGAGAGGTAATGTGAGGTTTCCAGGATCCTATGGTCAAAGAGAAGGCCCTAAAAACCTGACTGTATCACGTTCGGGGATGGGGGAAAGAGATAAAAAGGATGATGGGAGATGAAAAAGCGTCTTGTGAAAGAAATTTTGGGGGGTTTTGGTACTTAAAATTTTTAAAAAACCCATGGTGGGGGCCCGAGGGAAACACGGTCGCCGCATGTGGAGAGAAACTGCAATAGTACATCGTGCCGCACAAGCAATAGCGAAGTCATAAATGAGTGATGCCAAATAGGGGGTAAGAAACAGAGGAAAAATCATTTTAGCAAAGGAGAAAAAGTGTTGTGCTTAGAAAACCCCTGGGGATGTGTTGTGCTTAGAACACATCCCTGGGGAAAACCCTTCAGCTTGGACAAAGTCCGGGGAAAGAACATTATTGACTCGAACCGGAAATGTTGTCATTTAAAAAATTTTTTAAGGGAAAGGGATGGTAGATTGCCTCGGGGCCAAAAGGGAAGGGGCCTGGGCCGAAAATTATACCCCCAAATTTGTGTCATATCCCCTTTCAAGGCAAAAAAAATGGCAATAACTGGTGATTATTGAAAAGGCATTCGAACATAAATCCAAACGTAGAAAGGGGGTCATGGTAGAAGACCTTACGAAAGCTTTTTGTTAGCGGAAAGAACGTTGCGTGTTCTAAAAAACCACATCAAACGGCTTTTTACCAAGTTCCATCACTTTGCAACTGCATAAGAGCGATGGGCGATAGTGGGGGGCCCCTCATGTTGTTCCCGGGGTTTGAAAAAATGGAGACAATGGCGATTTCCCCAGCGGGGGGAAGAACTCCTTGTCCCCCAAATAAGATTAAAGAGGGTAAGGGACTACAAGAGTGCCCGATGTAAATTTTGAAAACATACAATATGAATGTGCGGCCCGCTGCCGTGATCGGCAAGCTAAAGGCGTTGCCTCTAGTTTTTGAAGTTTTAAAGGACATTATACTTTTCTTCTCGAAGAAGAAAGCCCAAGGGGTACTAACTCCTTGCGACTTTGAGGAAAAACGGGGCATAGATGGAGCCCCGGAAATAGGCCCAGATGGTCCCAATTAAAGGGCAACGTCGAGAGGGTTTGCACATCAACACCAGCACCCATAGAACAGGAGCGGGGAGGGGTTTTTACCACTCAATTTCCCCCTTTTTTTCCCAGACGCACTCATAAAAGAAGCAGCGGTGTGGGGGAAAAACAGTCCCCCAAAAAGTGCGTTTCTTCCGGATGCACGGGAGTGATCACACGCTTTGTTTAAAAAATCAAAATTTTCTCAGCAGTTTACTGTCCCGGTACCCCCCCCACGCAGCGCGTTTCAAACGTCTGCAAGCACAAGCAGGAGACCAAAAAGGCATGACTTCGAGAATGCCTGCCTGAGGTTTGGGGGGTAAAATGAGAAGTGCGGTAAAAATTCGTCGAGAAGAGGTGTGGGTCATAATGGGGGAAAAGGAACCTCACTAAAAGCAGTGAGGTGTGGTAAAGACCCATTTTCCCGATAAAATTGGCCAGCGGGGCTACGGAAAGGTGTGAATAGGAAGGAGAAGTAGAATGATTGGAAATGATCGCTGTATGTAAGTCGGTAAAACGCCGGGTGAAGTCTAGTCAGGGGGGGAAAGCGACTGTTAGATCGATGCAAAGAGAGTATGAGTAGGGATAAAAATTGGGAGTACCTGTATTAAAAACATGGAGGGGGTAGGGGAGAAAAGCCCCAACTGGATGCCACGTGAGTCCAAGAGCCCCCCCCCCAGGAAAGGTGGGCATTAAATCCCAAGAAACGAAGTGGGGTGGTAAGGATGAACAAGAAAGGCAAAGTCGGGGGAGAAAAAGCTCGGGAAGGGGGAGATAGAAGAACTATTTTAAAAAACCCCTTTTTCAAGTGGAAGGGTGCAGTGTAAAGCAGCGAGGGATGGGCAAATAGTGGACAGTACGGTATCATTGCGTAGAAGAAGGGCACTTTATTAAAGGTCCCATCTGAAAAGGATCCAAAAAACAAAAAAATTTTTAGCGAGATGGTTGGAAACAGCCCCAGTGTATTTTGTTCTTGTAAGCAAGCACCCAAAAGGGAAAAAAAACCGGAAAGCAACATCTGAAGTCACCCATTACCCCTGGGCCCCGGGTATTCCACTGTAAATAGGCCTGATTGGCGATAAAGAAAATACCGGGGAAACTGTAGGGAAAGGCACCCCGATAGAGGGGTTTAAAAAATCAACATGGGTGGCATTGGGAAAAGTTCAAGAGCGAAGGAAAAGCGTTGCGGGGAAAAATGGGGTTGGAAGATGGAGGAGAAGAAAGAAGGGAACAGGAAGTGAATCAGTGTCCCTTGAAGGTTTAGTCTCTCAATATATTTGAAATGGCTTCAAATTTTCTGAATTCAAAAATGTAGGGGACCCTATTGGAGATAAAAGGAAAAGGGGGGAGTAAAGATTGGGAAATAATGGACTGACCAAAGTGAGGGGGAGGGAAAAAAGTTAAGGGACTGGGGTGAAGTGTGGGGGGGACAGAAGAGGCAGAAACCCGGGAGGGGAGAAGAGGGAAAATTGGGGGGGACGGGGGTGGGGGCTAGTAAGGAGGGTGAATCTCCACATTGTAAAATTCCCCGAGAGAGGGGGAAAAATAGGTACAGGGACTGGGAAAAGGGAAAGTGGGGGGGGTGGAGAAGGGAAGGGAAAGGGGGAAAGAAGATTTAGCAATGTGGATTTTTTGGATTCTGGAAGTTGAGGGGGATTGGTATTAGGTATCGTACGAGGCTTGTCAATACTGGGGCTTGCGAGGAAAGGACGCGAAACGGAGAACAGACTGGTTGAATCGGGAGTCAGAGCCGGACAGCAAAAGGTTAGATGCGGTTGGTATGGGAGGGGTAACAGAGGGGGCTGCAGAAAAGGACCCCCGAAGTGGGGGGATGTTTTTAAAAACCCAGAATAAGAAACACGGGGGTGTCTCCCTTTGGGGGCGGAAATGGAACTGCCATAGCATAAGGGAGCCCTTTGCTCTTTGAGGGGAAGGATTTTCAGTTCATTTAAGTAGACCTGGGAACGGCGGGGGTAA